TAATTTATATTTATAAAATTATTAATTTATCTATAAATTTACTAATAATACATATAATTTTACTTATTTAGTAATAATAAATATATACCATTTGATACATGACATGTCACTTAAATAGGTTAAAAATTGTATAATTTCAAAACATTAGTTAATTATATACATTATATTAATATATAGACTTAAATATGATTTTAATTCCTATAAAATGAGCAAATTTTGATTTTCATTCTTGTAATATTTTTTTCATCCTTCTAAACAATGGTTAAGGACACTTAAGAGGCTTCATCTAATTTTGAGGTAACCCTATTCAAAAAGGAAAAACTAGAGCACTCGTATTTTCTCCAAAAATGATAGTAAATCCTTCTTGTTCATTGGCCCAAAATGATACATATCTCACCATTACTCTTTTTACCCAAATATCATAAAATCCTTAGGTAACTAACTCTAGAGCCATTGATCACTTGAATGATTGCTCAAAACTATTTTCTTCCTATAGTCCTTATGTTGGGAATAACAAAATCAAAATTGCTGATGGAACTCTCATTGTGGTAGCTAAAATTGTTTATCCTACAGAAGCATATAAACCATATAATCCTTTCACCATAATTGGTAGTGATGCTTGGGGGCCAAGTCGTGTAACCACCCCTACGAGTACAAATTGGTTTATGAGTTTTATTGATGATTGCACCAGGTTAACTTGGATGTATTTGATGAAAGAAAATTTTGAGGTTGAAGTAATCTTTAAAACCTTTTTTTGCTATGGTTCAAACCTAATTTAAAAAAAAAAACCTAGATTTTTAGAAGTAATAATGGGAGATAATACTTCAACAAATTTTTTGTGGAAAAAGACATTGTTCATCAAAGTTCTTGTGTTGATAGTCCTTAATAAAATGGGGTAGCCGAGAGAAAAATTAAGCATTTCTTAGAAGTTTCTAAAGCCATTCTTTTTCAGAACATGGTTCCTAAATACCTTTGGAGTGAGATCATCCTAACAACAACTTATTTAATTAATAGGATGTGGTGTAAAGTTTTAAAATTCAATACGCCTCTTGATATGTTCTTGAGCCACTTTCCAAAAAATAGGTTGTCTTCTAAGTTACCCCTAAAAATATTTGGATCCACAACTTTTTTACATGTTAATGTACCAAATTGAAGTAAACTTGATCCTCAGGGGAAAATGTGTGTTTTTATTGGGTACACTCTATCTTAAAAGGGGTATAAATGTAACACCCTGTTACATTAGACACAACTCCTTACTAACTATTTACTTATTTGTTATTATAAAAATGGTGATAAAATTTTCACGTTTATTATAATATGTTATTACCATAAAATATAAAGAACCATGATGTTCTTAAATATAAATATGATTACAAATAAATTTTGTAAAAATATGTATTAACTATTTTCGTTAAACTTCATAAAACCTAACTAGAATAATACAAAATTCTATTTTACCCTAAACACAAGTATAAGTGAAAATAGTCTTTAGGCATCTTATTTTTTTGACAGTCGTCACAATCTTCTTGATATTCATATTGTTAAATTAACCCGATCACTATGCTTGGTCGCTATCTTCATGTATGTTCATCAAGTACATGCACAAAAAGAAAGCAAAGGAATGAAACTTTAATAATATCAACTTATATATATACTGAGGGTAAAAATACTTACCAAAAGACACATAATAATTTATAGGAGAAAACTAGAATTAGTTCTAGTTGTACTTACAGGACACTAACTTTGTTAAATACAAAGGTAAGAACACTTACCATCAGACACACAAAACTATAAGTGGGAACTAGAATTTTTTCTAGTTGCACTTACTTGACACTAACACAATATGGATCAATGCTACCTCATTTTAGAAGTGATTGGGAGCACAAATGTCTTGACTAATAAATGGTATGATTCCATCCCTTGGATGAATATCAATATACCAATGAGACACATCTTTCTTTGTCCAAATTTGGGATCTACTTTCACACCAATCTTGTAATGTTAGAGCAGTTTTCAGGGATGTCGAGTTGATTAGGTTGAGATTCCAACACAAGGTGCTACCTTGACCTTTAACTTTTGCAACCACCTAACACTTTACCCCAAGGTATTCCCACTAGTGTGAGACCCCTTTCCGTTCATCCCTTAGCTTTACAAGCTATAATTTCTAGTGCAAGGCATCATGTTGTCACCTATCCCTCACATTGACATATTCCTTACAATATAATTATGACATCTCTTTTCAAAGAATTCCTTGGCCTCCATTACTTTGAGCACCAATCTTGAATAACTTAACCTTACTCTTAGGGAGAACTTGTTTCATACAAGATACAAAGTTTTAGATAAAACTTGCTCACTCATTTTGATAATGGTTCTTATTGTAACATTTGTAGTACAAGGTTGGTTAACTATTTAGCCCTCACTATCATTCCCCATCGTAAACCTTATAGGCTTCAATAGTTAAATGACAAAGGAGAAATGGTAGTGGATCAACAAATAGTGGTAACACTTTTCATAGGAAACTATAAAGATGATATTTTATGTGATGTAGTACCTATGGAAGCAAGCCATATTTTGTTGGAAAGGTCATGACAATTTGATAAGAAAAAAATTTATAATAGTTTTACCAATAAAATAACCTTCACACTCATGGACAAGAAATTTGTGTTTCATCTCTTTCACCCTCACAAATGGTTGAGGATCAATTACAAATGCAAAACAAGAGGGATAAAAAAATGAAAGGAAAAAAAAACCCTAAAGAGTGAAAATGGGAAGGAAAAGGTTATGGAGGTTAGTGTCCCCTCTAAACTTTGGTGATCTATTTCCTCAAGAAGTTTCAGAGGGACTTCCACCTCTAAAAGGGACAAAACATCAAATTGATTTCATTCTTGTAGCAAGCCTACTAATAGGCCAACTTATAGGACTAGCTCCTAAGAAATAAAAGAAATAAAATCCCATGTTCACGAATTGTTGGAGAAGGGCTATATTCAAAAGATTCTAAGTCCTTGTGTTGTTCCAGTGTTGTTAGTGCCTAGAAAGGATGACAAATGGAGAATATGTTGAGATTTTAGGGCCATCAACAACATTAGTATTAAGTACAAACACCCAATTCCAAGGTTGGATGACATGTTTGACAAGCTTCATGGTGCAACTATATTTTTCGAAGTTGATCTTAAAAGTGGTTATCACCAAATAAGAATTAAAGGAAATGAATGAAAAATTGTTTTCAAGACTATTGGAGAAAAAGATATACACTAGAAGGGAGGTTGAATAGTGTATATCAAAAACTCGCATTTTTTGTAGTGAAGTAGTAAAACTGTAACAAACGAAATACTGGGAATCAATAGACAAAGTGACATAAGTGTTTTATATTGGTTCATCTCAAACACAGAGACTACATCCAATTCTTAATCCAACTAGATTGAGTTCCACTATCTTGTACAAGATAAAAGTATTCTTTCACAAGCCACTTCTGGCTCAACACCAAGTATTATTTCACCAAGCCTCTTCAGGCTTAACCCAAGTATTCTTTCAATAAGCCTCTCCAAGCTCAAACCCAAGTATTCTTTCAACAAACCTCTTCAAGCTCAACACTTACAAATAAATTTGACAAGAGTTACAATGATAGCTTCGTCTCTTCTAGACATGATGCTATGAAAAATACAACATAAATAAACTACAAAGAACTATATATGATATTTACAATGAATATATTCTTTGTAGTGATTTAGCTTTTTTCTCAAAGCGTTTGATCAGTTTGAACTACTCAATGAATGTTGAAATTTTTATGTACAATGCCTTTTCTTTTTATAAGTATTCTAGTGTCCTTCGTTTTTTAGTATGAAGGCTTGATCCTTATATAGTAGATTTAGAGAAGATGACCGTTGCAACAATGTTGGATTTAAACGTTAAAAAATTCTTCATAGGTTGGTTCATCTGTCTTCTTTGTTGATCCTAGAGATTACCATTGACGCATTTAATGCTCGCATTAAATGCTTATCAATGAAACTTTCAACTCTTATCTGATCTAGACAACCACTTACCATCATTTCCTTTCATTTTGAATGCAACAGAGAAGTGTCAATGTAAAGCAATTGGGGTATATAATACTCTTTTTCAATACCCTTTTCGTGATATATGGGATCTTGCTTTTTGGCTACTCACAAAATTTTTTTCTTGTTCCTCTTTAATGCATTTCAAAACTTATGA